CAGCAGACAGCAAGAAGCCTCCCAGATCTCCAGATGCATTTGAGATATCAAAAAAGTACTCCAGAGTGTTGTTCAGCATGGGGGTGAGTAGAAAATGAAGGCTAATCATGTTTTGGATGTACTATTCCTTTAATTCTTTTTTTTTTTTTTACTATGTCATTAGTATCATGATATGGGTTAGATTAGGCTAAGATAACCCAAGATTTTAAATTCTCAAGAGATTAAATCTGACAAACACTTAAGTGGGGGAAATTTGAATCTGAAATTTAAATCAAACTACCTAAAAGTTTTTTATTTGTTAGTGTTCTGTTTGGTAGAACTCATAAAAGTGTGACCAGATCCACGGTCATCATTGTCGCTCACTATAAACCTTTTTTTTTTTTTTTTTTACAGTGTCCTGTCTGGGAATGTGGCAATAAGAATAATTGTCTTGATGCCAAAAAAAGCCCAACAGATTTTCTTGATTTTACTTTTGCAAGAGCTCACCATAAACCTAATTACCATCCAATATTGGGGAAAATTGGAATACTGTCAGCATGCAACAGGATTTATGCTGCATATTTCTTGTTTTTTTTTCTTCCAGGGGCAAGGAGAGGCTTCAGCTCGGGGGACAACCATGGAGGGGGACTGTCTCAGCTGCATCAAGTACCTCATGTTTGTCTTTAATTTTCTCATCTTTGTAAGTACTTTTCATCTCTTTCTCAAAGACTCTTAGTCTAGCCACCTCTGAAGTTAGTGTCAGTATAATGATTTAAGATGGGCTTCTGCCTGCTCTGTCCCCAACTGACTAATGGAACCACATTTGCATTTCATTAGATGAGGCAATCTTGATTCTATCAAATTCTCTTTTGATTAAATTTTAGTGTGCTGACACACATCTGAGGCTCACTGTGCCATATGGAGTTTGTGACTGACACCTGAGTTTATCAGTCTTGATAAGACAATCAAGGGTAATCCCGTTAGTCGGAGCCATTGGAGTGTGGGGGTGGGGCGTTTCTGTGTCTTTTTCCTGCTTTATTAGGTGCATCCAAAACCGTTTACAGACTCCACTCGCTTGTGGTTGTTCAAAGGTTCGGGTGATAATGTAAGCAGTAGAGCAGCAAATGATCTCTGCAGTTAGCACTATGCTGCTTTTCTTTTAGTGTTTTTATCATTACATTTTCAGAGGGATCTTTATAGAGCTTTTATAAAAGTACCCAGTATTCTTTATTTCCTATTTTTTTTTTAAGTTAAAAGGAATTTAAGTACAGCCAGGTTTTATAATTTTCTACAGGGAGGAGAGGATTGCTGGAGTCTCTGATCCCCCCCAATATCTACTTTTCTTAATCACAAGAGTAGCCCAGTGGGGGAGGTGGATAGGATTTAGTGAGAGGAAATAAGGTGGAGGATGGAGGCTGCAGCCATCTTCAGCAGGTTGGGGGTTTATCAAAGCCGGATGATATCTCCACACTC